CACAAGGGGCGCCACAGAAGACGACAAATGTCCCTTCTGTAGAGAAAGCGAGACAAGCGCGCACATGCTGGTCATGTGCGACAGATATGATGAATTAGGAATCCAAAAACTTTTTGAAATAGCAGGGAACACAAACCTTGATGTGTACCTGAGAAGCAAAGCCAATTACCTGGGGCTTGTCGCTTTTGCAGCACAAGCCATTAAAATCAGAAATGCAGTACAAAATTAAAACTAGAACCTATAAGCCAGACTAAAGCTAGAAAAGCAGGACCGCCTCCACGTGGTTAGGGATGGAAACGTTAGTCCACTGACAGCCAAAGGTCTTGCACAACACCCACAAGAATAATATTTAAAATTGGAGAAACAATCAATTATTAAGCAAACGCTACATAGCAATGAGTGAAAGCTCGAGCTATATGGAATAAGAATAAATAATGAATGAATGTGTCGCTGCTCCTAGAGGACAAAATTCTAATTGTGGGTTTTACACGGGGGATCAACAAATATCTCCAATTCCAATGGTGAACAACATCCATGGGCGCACAATAAGTTAGGATAAAAATGTTTGTGCGATTAATAAATTTAAATAAAATAAATTATTTCTATATTTACAATATTTATTTTATTTATAGTATCATTATATATTTTGAATGTATGATGTATGTTAAATAAATATTCTCTAACTTTTGTATTGTTTTTCAAATATCTATGTTTCGTTTTGTTACATCAAAATTAGATTTAAGATTAGCTAATGATCATTTCTATATAATTTCTATATTTGACTTATGTTGATTCTAATTCATCTTTTGCATTATGTTTTAACTTATAGTAATGTGCTATTTTTTTAAATTTCAAGAATTCATATGTTTTATGTATCCAGAATGTTACAATTTCTAGACAGTTTTTTGATTGAGTTTTTACTAAATTTATTGTGGATTATGTTGAAACATTTCAATTTGCCATTGATATAGTAAAAAAAGACATTAATTGTTGCATTGAAAAGTTGAAAAAAATGATTAGGAATGCTTTCAAAAAATACTCAAACAATAAACGTAGTGAAAGTTGTATTCTTTTGACGCATTTGTTAATATGGTCCACGGTCCACTAGAGTCTAGTGACTGGACAGTCCCACTCAGCCGTCCCAGCCCATGGCATAGGCAATCTACAGTTTTGCTCTATGGCAACTTTCATTGGCAACACGAGTTTCCCTACTATAATAAATTAGATTTTTGTGCAGACGTCCCGGAGTTTATGTAAGTTACTATAATAATTTAGACATTTGTGTCAGTTTGTATCAGAATTCTGATAAAGATATCTTTCCAAAAAAGAGTGAATTATCAGTATTTGCAAGTTTGTTTTTATTACATATAAAGTTCTTCATTATCATTACAGTTATTCACTATGTCTGGAAAGTTTGGAAATGTTAATAAATGCCCCATCCCTACTGCAAGGGCAAGCGACACGTGGCGTCAAAAACATTTAAATAATTTGTTTTTCATAATGAAGTTGGACCTGGAACTGCTAAGTACGGGCTTCAAGATGAAGATTATATATTAATAATCATGGCAAAAATGCGATGTAGAATGTTGAAGCACTTTGGTACTGATAGAGTTTGTATTGATGGTAGTCATAGGACGAATGGCTATGGATATCTGCAACAAACACTGCTTGTAGTAGATGAATTTGGAAGCGCCATACCAGTCGCATTTTGTTTTTCAAATAGGCAAGATGAGTTGATGTGTAAAATATATTTCAAAGAAATTTATAAGGTGGTAGATATACTTGAAACAAAGGTATGCATGACAGATGACGCTCTGCTTATTTTAATGGATGGTCATCTGCCATGGGTGCGCCACAGCATAAACATTTATGCTCCTGGCATGTGTCCAGGAGCTGGAAGAGAGCAGTATCACATAAGATTGTAAATAGAGAAAAATGTGAAGTCATTTACCAGAAATCAATAGAATTAAAAATGATTTTAGATGAAGATGATTTTGGAGCAATTTAAATTCTTATTTGAATAAACTTAAGAAAGATGACGATGCTAAATTATTTGTTAAATATTTTAAGAAATTTTATTACAACCGAGCAACTACTTGGGCGTATTGTTATCGGAAAGGTTTAAGAATAATTACTAACATGTTTTTAGAAAGTTTTCATAACCAAATGAAAACTCGAGTACTACTTTAGTTTTTTTTTTTTACTTGGTGTTACTGCCCGATTTTAAATAACCTATCAAAATATAATATCAACACCAAACTCACATATTTCAATATATATATATATATATATATATATATATATATATATATATATTAATTGTTTAATATGAACAAAACAGCACTCAGATTTGTTTAACACAACTTTATTTTAGGATTACAGACGTTTCGAGACCATGGTGTGTCTCATCTCCAGTGTAATTTCAAAAACAGTCACTTATATACTACACATTCTTTAATATTTTATTTAAATTTCATTTAATTTTTGGTATACAAAAAACACCAACTATTCCTTGCAATGCTTGACACAGTACTAAATTAATTTAAAAGTACACTTGTGGATCATGCTAATATCAACAACCATAAGTTTGATTTTGACAATCCCCAAATTTTATTCCATGAGAAGGACTTATTTGAACGGAGCATGGCAGAATCAATGTTAATAGTTCGGACTAACAATAGCATAAATCTAAGAACCGACACAAATATTTTACATGACACTTATATAAACATCATTAATAATTTATAAATTTTTTCATTTATCTTATTCTTTTCAATAAATTAATTTGTTTTTTCATTTTTATCGATTTTGTATGCGATAGCACTCCTTTGTTTACATTATAATGATACCCTCTCTGTCTCCATCTATATAAGTACTTCAAATTTGTTTAGAATATTTCTGTAAGTGTTATACGAATATGTTTCTTTAGTACTGTGTCAAGCATTGCAAGGAATAGTTGGTGTTTTTTGTATACCAAAAATTAAATGAAATTTAAATAAAATATTAAAGAATGTGTAGTATATAAGTAACTGTTTTTGAAATTACACTGAAGATGAGACACACCATGGTCTCGAAACGTCTGTAATCATAAAATAAAGTTGTGTTAAACAAATCTGAGTGCTGTTTTGTTCATATTAAACAATTAATATTCGTTCCACTCATATCATAAAATTCTATATATATATATATATATATATATATATAATAAAATTTGTTTCTTGGGCATCCATCCAGTAATTAAAAAACAGTTTTAATGAAAAATGTTTTTATTTATAGAGTTTTTATTTTATTATTTATAAAATATATCTCTATAAATAAAAACATTTTTCATTAAAACTGTTTTTTAATTACTGGATGGATGCCCAAGAAACAATTTTATTATATTATTTCACCATCTGAAGAAAAACCTCTCGCTTTATATATATATATATATATATATATATATATATATGTATATAAAGTTATTTTTTTATTTTTAATAGGAATCAATCAGTTCTTACTCACATGTTTTCTTAACTATTCAGTACCAGTTCCTCAATTGTGTTACAAGGAATCACTAGTCATAATTAATAACTATCTGTGAAATATTTTCGTAAATTACTTGTTTTAGGATATTTTTGGTGGAGTGGAGTGGTGGTTGATAGTTTTTATACACTATCTGTTTATGTGATATTTATTTGTTTTGAATTCTCAGATTCGTATGAAAAAGCCAGAAGAGCGACAGCGGATAGTGAAGCCTCCCAAAGTGATGAGCCGCGAGAAAGGGGTCGCCGCAAGAGGACCAAAAGGGTGTTTGAAGGTGAAGTTGAGGAAGAGGAAGATTATTGTGAGTAGCTACTTTTATAAAATGCTTCGTATCATATTTATTGACTAATGTTCTTGCCGCTGATACAGAATTTAATTTAATTTTAAATTCCGGGCAGATAGTAAGGAAAAAGCAGGCCATAAACAAAGAACGGAGCACTGTAGATCAAGGCACACAGGCAGAGGAACCTCTGCCTGCACGCATGGAAAGTAAGTGATTCATAGCTATTGTGTCTTAATTATTATTTATTGTTATTGATTTCTTAATAGAATCCTTTAACTACTTCGTAAAGTAGAATAAAATTTATAATGATTCTGTGGTAACTGCTATCAAACCATTTCCTCGCAATAGTGTGCAGCAGGAGGATGACAACATTTGTGAGAATTTATTTCCTTTAAAAACGATACAAAATACAAATTTAGACTGCAAAGTGCTCTTCCAGAAGGAACCGGAAAATGCAGAATTGGTGAGTTTTCTTTTACTTAATATTCGTACAAAATTTTTAAATTTAATTTTACAATACTCTATTTTCAGCTAAAGTATCTTATTCGCATCAGAGGGAGCAAGCAGACCATAGTGATTTTTTTTTTATAAAAACGCATTCACTAATGGTGTCGCAGACGGGATAACTTCCCACTACAAGATTTATTTTTAATTAAAATTATGAGAGATATTTTTGCAGTAAATTAAAATGTAAAAGTCAGAAGTATTTATTAACCATGACTAATAACTTCTTTCTTTTAGCTGCAGCCCGAATGGCTTATCCTATTATTATTAAGGAGTCATATTACTGTTGTGAACAACCTATGAATATAATTTATGTTACCGTTTACTAATTTTGATTCTGTTTGAATATGCTTGTTTGCCATTAAAAAAAAAAAAAAGAAATGGGTTTTCGTCTTACTTTCAGATCTTATATATGTTTATATATATACCCAGTAAACCACAGAAGTTAAATCCACGTAACTCATTTTGTAACTTTCGTTTCGAAACTGATGTTAAGTAAAAAAACCGATGCTGTTACGTATAGTTGTGAGCTCTAACCACCGTCGACCAGTTTAAACGTTTATAATACTGCTTTGTTCGTATCTGTCGGTACGTGGCGTGGTACGTTGCACGGTCACATACATTTGCCTTTGAAAATAGCCGTGAAGTGTTTTATGAACGAAATGTCAAATTAAATATAGGTTAACTCGGCCAGTGCATCGTGGACGCATAATTGAGTATTTTATCGTGTATGTTTGAAATGCAAGATATTTCCTTTATTGAAGCGTTATTTATTAATTGCTTTTAAATTTAGTGCGAAATCAGTTGTAGAAATTAGTTAAACAGTCAGCTGGAAAAGTATTTAATATGAAACCGGCAAACAAGGTGAGTCTAATTGTACTGAAATATATTTTTAACTTCCCGTAGGGTAAGTTATTGTAATGGGCCGAAAATCGGAATTGATAATTTTTACATTTCTCGACGTTTTGAAGGTTTCTGAACGTTTTGGCATACTCCAGAAAAAATGGATGTGTGTGTGTGTGTATGTATGTGTGGATACAAATTTCCAGTCACGTTTTAGGGCGCACGGATCAACCGATTTGAATGGTTCAAAAAACATTCGATTCCTATTGATAGGGAAAAGAGCTGATTAGTTTTTGGCAAAGGCAGGTCCAGCCGTTTCGGAGATACGGAGCAAAGAGTGCAGAAAATAGAAATCGAATTTTTGAGAGAACGGAGTATCCGATTTGAATGATCTAAAAAACATTCAATTAGTAATGATTGGGAGAAGTGTTTATTAGTTTTTGGCAAAGGCAGGCCCAGCCATTTCGAAGATACGGAGCTAAATATGTAAAAAATGGCAGTTTTTGAGAGAACTAAGCGTCCGATTTAAATGATTCAAAGAACTTTCTGCTTGTCTTAAGAAAAAAATTGATTTTGGAAAAAAAAAATTTCGTTCATTTTTTTTTTTTTTTTTTTTTTAGTTTTTTGTATATCGAAAATATTTCAGATTTTATTTTATTATTTTATATTAGACAATGATACAATTCAGACAACTATTTGAAAGATTCAGACAACCATTAGACAACTATTTGAAAACATTCAGTATTCAACGGGAAGTTCCAGCAATTTGCCTTAAGGCACGATGCCATAATTGCCTCAAGACAGAATTCCACTTACAGCTAGTTTAATTTATAAATTATTATAATAATGTTTAGTCATTTGCAGTATATAGGCCGCCTTCAATGCAAAGTCTGTTCATGTATTGTGATAATTGATTTATCATGTAATAATTGAAATTTCTAACACACCAGTCAGAAACATAACCTCAATTCAGTGACATATGAATAAAGAGAAGTAAGTTATATAGTTTTATACATATTTATTTTTTATAGTTCCATTAGTATCAGAACTATTTAGCTAAGCACAAACTGATATAAGTTGGTTTTCAATTGTAGAGAAAATTACAGTGCTGATAACCCCTACGAAAATGGATTTCAAACTAGGGAAATTTTCTCCAATAGAGAAGATAAATACAAAGTTAGATAATATATTAGAAATTATTAATCCTTTGTCACCAAAAAAAAAACAAACAAGGCTTGAAAACATGCAAGAAAAATAAGAACACATATCGATTAAGTGTTGAAAAGAAAATGAATTGTGGAGTATTTCTTAAGTGATGATATTGAATTACAGAATAGGTATATTAATGTTTTGCACAAAGATAATTTTAACTAATATGATTTAGTACTAATTTGTAATATTTTACTTTTAGGAAATTCACATATTTAATACGAAACCAGCAAAGGTGAGTATAATTGCACTGTTTTTTTTTTTTAATTTACAATTTTAATTTGCAAATTATTATATTAATGACTAATTAGTTATTTTCAGTATATAGGTCATGCGCAATGCAAATTCTGTTTATGTATTGTGATAATTGATTTATCACATAATTATTGAAATTTCTGACAGACCAGTCAAAAATCACATAACCTCAATTCAGTGATATGATATGAACATTATAGGTAGATAAGTGTAATATATATGGTATCATACATATTCTTTATAATTTCATTAGTATCTGAACTATTCAGTTAATCAAAAGCTGAAATATGAATTGCTTTCCAATTGTAGAGAAAGAGTGCTCATAACCCCTATGGGTTATGTCAAAATGGAATTCAAACTAGGGAAATTTGCTCTAATCAAGAAGATCAATTGTCACCAAAGAAACAAGCAAGACTTAAAAACATGCAAGAAGGAAAACAAAGAATGCACCGGATATCACACATTATATGGATTAAGTGTTGAAGAGAACATGAATTGGTGAGTATTTCGAATCTGATGATCTTGCATTACAGAATTGGTATATTAAGGTTCTACATGAAGAGAATTTTAACTAATATGATTTAGTACTAATTTGTAGTGTTTTACTTTTAGGTAATTCAGATCTTGAAAATTAATAGGATAAAATCAATGCAAGAAAATTATTGAGTGTGTGTTCATGGAATAATTATCTCTGTCATATGATCGTAGGAACTACATAGTCATTAACTTCAAATAATAAGTATGTTTAGAGGTAATGTTCACAAATGACTAATTTGTTCACAATGTTTTCAATTCAAAATTTGTGTACAATGTTTCTAAGATGTTTGGTTCTATTTTAGATACATTAACAGATGCAAGTGCGTTGAACATATTTAACGCAAGACTTAACTTTGCCAAGTCTGATTTAACTGAAGTTGCCAAGAGAGTTAAACATAATACATATTATGAATAAATAAATAATTATTTTTATAGGCTAACATTTTATGGACTATCAAATTTTAGTTTTCTAATGTTGCAACTATGTAATATGTAAATTTTGTATATTGTAAATGATAATATTTAATAAAATTAATAAATATCCGAAATTATTATTAATATTCTATATTTGCAGGAAATTTAGTTAAATAATTATGTAACATAAAAGACACCTGCACGCTTTTTTATTCAATTTAGATACGTAGCAAAAATGCAACCGCGATGTATTAGTGTGCAACGAAACAGCCGTTACGTTCTTGCCCGCGAAATAGATGCTTCTGTGTGCCTCCCAGGTTACGTACCTGGTTCGTGCGGACGTGCCAGCGTTACGTAACGTTCATGGCTTCGTTACGTTTTGTGGTTTACTGGGTATATATATATATACATATATCCATATATGTATATGTATGTGTATGTATATAGTAGTGTGCCTCGGTCGCCTTAGTCCATCGAAAAGTCTGTGTTTTAGCTCCAAAAAATCAGAAAAATATAATTTAACTCAATATGTCTAACATGGATGAAATAATAGGTATTATAACTATCGCCGAGCTACTGAGAAACCGACTTTAGGCGTCTTTAGCCGGCGCATAAGGCAATAGTTGCTTATTTTAGAAATTTGATTAGTGATATTTCTAATTCGGACATTATCTCACTCACTCAATTACGATTGGGGAATAAAGAGAAAAAATACTTTATCTTTCTGGCAAACATGAATTTTATGATGATACGAACTGAACTTTGGATCCAAGGATTTAATGATGGATTGAACAAATTTCCTTTCATGACAATGTTCACGATTAATCAGGATGAGAAGTTATTAATACTACAACAGTTTTGTATGGTTTATAAAAAACGTGTTGTGTAAATTCTTTAAATTTAGTGAAATTATTTAAAAAATTATATAAAAATTAATTTAAAAAAATAATGTGTGTATAAAACTTTCAGTATTACTCAATAATGAATGCAGTTATCTCGTACTTGTTAGTAAAATATTTTGTTTATGAAACAGACTGTGGAATGACTAGCATTCAGTCTCAAATGATGAAGAATTCAAGCACTGACAAAGTTTGCATTGATGGTACACATGGAACTAAGGACTATGGCTTTCAATGACATACACTACTATTTTCGAATAGGCAGGATGCAGTACTATGAAAAATATATTTAAAAATATATATTAAGAAAAATTTATAAGGTGGTAGACACAATTAAAACATGGACTTTCAAGACAGAAGATGCTCCAACATATTTCGACACATCTATCACCACATATCCAAGAACTGGAAGCACATTTGAATGAGTTTCAGAAAGTAGATGATGCTAAGTCATTTGTGAACTATTATAAAAAAAGCTTACTGCAAAGAACAACTACTTGGTTTTACTGTTATTGGAAAAAATTAGGAATTAATACCAATATGTATTTTGAAAGTTTTTACAAACGAATGAAAAGTAGAGTTTTGAAAAGAAAGTGCTCTTGATTTGGATGTTCTTATCAGAAGGTCTAAAGATTAAATCGAACGTTACTGTCAACACGACAGAGAAATATAAAAGCAAGCCACATCAATATTGTCTGATCGTATTATAGAAATCAGTGCCAATGCACAATGGATTGTACCACCAACAGGTGGTGCCTTAGCACCATGTGATTATTAAGAAAAAACAAACATGCAATAGTTCCTGCAATATAAACCATGTAAGATTTGTTTTCATATGTAACTGGCAGTTGTATAGACTACTTGATTTAATCAAGCACATCCATACCTGTTGGCATTATAAGCATCATGCAATCAAAAAAACATTTGGTGATAACTATTTTTTCATTTATTTGTGTGATGTAAATGGGTTAAGCGTGAACTGTTGGAAAACGATACGGTACAAAAATGGAATTTCATTCATCGACTATTGTCAACATGTGCCTCAAAATGTTTCATAGAACATGGCATATGTAATCGTACTAATCAGGATTATATCCATCACAAGAAAAAACATGGATGTACTTACGTGTCAAGATCTTTTTCTCAAGTCACCTCTTGCTCTCGAATATAAGATGATTCAGTGAAACATTCACATAGCCCTCCATAAAGTTCAATAGTATTTCTTGACCTCCATCTGGAATTACAAAATATAATAATAATTCATATATAGTAATAAAAATATTAATTTGAAGCAGTCTCAAAAAAGAGAAAATAATTAAATGAATAAAAATAAAACATCTGCATCAAACATAACCTTTCTCTGAAATTGATACAATATCGATAAACAACAAATCATCGTAAATTTAGTTTAAAATTAAATCAATAGCGAATTTTAGAACATTAAACATGAAAAAACACCAGCGTTATTAACGATTATTTCACATATAAAATCAAAGCCAATGCAGAATAGAATGCTGTCAAATGTTTTGCTATTTTCGCGTGTTAAATCAACAAGCAAAATTATCAATCAATTAAAATACTAACAAAACACCTGCAAATAATTTTATCGCCCATTTGGATCAATCATCGTCCACCGAAGCACTGAATTTAAACAAAATCGAACTAAACATCAAAACTAATGCGAAGCACAGATTAAACTCTATTTAACACAAATAAAATCACTATTTTAGCTGCTTTCTCTGTAATATATCTTTGCATTTTGCATTTACATTCGCTGAATCACTTTCCTGCTTCACAAATTGCAATAAACGCATGACGCACGACACACGTGACTTGTGACTTGAGCTAACAATAAGCACGACCACAGAGTAATATGAATAGATGCACTCACTAAAAGAGACGCAGGTCGGCCAACGGAGGCGAAATGTCAACGGCGCCAAATTCAACTTCATCTTATACCTGATATTGTTATGAACAAGAAATTATAATGTTACATGTATCACATATATTTCATATAACAATAATTTAAAATTGTTGACATTAATATGAAAATAAAAAAATACGGATGTTACAGTGGTAAACCGAGTACTTTATAATGAACATTTCGTAAAAAATAGAAAATTATTTGAAAAGTTTGAGCAATTTGTAAATATTGTAATACTGTCAATATTATTAAAATTTTTATTCATTGTTATTGTAAATAATATTTAATTGTAATGTTACAAGCATCATGTAAATTTAATGTAGATTTAATTAAATTATTTATAAAAATAAAAGGTTACAGGTGTTCTTCTATATTAACTGCAGCAAGTTATAGTAAACGCAAAAAAATCGAAAATGAAATTTTTTTAAGTTTCGAAGGTTTCTGAACATTTTGGCATACCTTAGAAAAAATTGATGTATGTGTGTGTGTGTGCGTATAAAAATTTTCGTCCACGATTTCGGAAACACGGATCAACCGATTTGAATAATTCAAAACACATCCGATTCATATTGATAAGGAGACGTGTTGATTAGTTTTTGGCATAGGCAGGTCTAGCCGTTTCGAAGATCCGGGGACAAAAGTACGACAAACGGTAACTCAGTTTTTAAGAGAACGGAGCGTCCGATTTGAATAATTCAAAAAACATTTGAATGAGAAGAAATCGA